GATGGGGCACAGTTGTGTGGATGTGCCTATGTGCACGATCAAGCTGGATAAAGAAAAGAATACAGTAAAAGCCCTGAAGATGGTACTGGCAGTGATGATTGATTGACATTCCAGAAACAAACTGGTCACCACTTGAATGCAGATCAGGACTGAGTTACAGCTTTGAAGAACTTGCAAGCTGCAGATGACAAGACTAAAGGACAGAGGGAAAAGGGTATAACATAGAGAGGCTCTGAGAAGAGTAATAATGAGCATTAACTCTCGCTACCAATGCTTTTATTGTCCTCCTTTTTTAGTGTAAAAAAGCTCTCAGCATCTTGGGGTCCTGGTCAGATTGTTCTTGGTACAGTGGAGGTGGAGAACATGTCCACCAACCAAAGACAAGTCATGGAAAGACCTACTGGATGCAACCAAAGGACAGTAGCAAGAATGGTTGCAGGTCTAGATAATACAGCTTGCAAAGAAAGACTGAGGAAACTGTGCCTCTTTAGTCCCAATGGAAGAATATGGAGAAGAAACAGCTCAACAGTCTTCAAAAACATAAAATGCACCTTCAGAGAAGAAAAGACTGTTCCGATTTCCCTGTCCATGGTGAAGATAACAGAAAATTAGGGTGGTAGGTATTTTGGTGGGTCAGAGGTGTGGAACTTCCTGTAGTAGAAAATTTAAACTAAGGGTCTGGGCCTTACAAAGTGAAAGGAGACCTCCCAGAGAAGCTGCATAAGGGTAAGGCACTACACGCATACACACACCCAGACACCAAGTTTTGCCAGCTCATTATGTTATGCAGCAGGGGATTTTTTTTTTTTATAGCTGTATAAAAGTAGATCAACTGATAAAAAAGAGCCTTTTTGTTGTGGGAGCTTGCTGAGTTTGGGAAACTGCTTTCAATGCTATTGGCAAACACTTTACAAGTGTAAACAGGGCCTACATCAGGCAGATAAATAAGTGCAGATGTGCTTTTCTGTAGGAACCATTTGGTGATAGGCAATATATTGAAAAAAAAAATTCTCATCAAATTAATTGTGGCCAATTAGACATAACCCCTTCCCCTCATCTCTGAATCCCCTCCAGTTGAGGCTGCCTGAATGGGAAGAGCTCCTATCAGCTGTTTCATTATGCAGATTGATATTCGAGCGTCTGAGAACAATGCTGCTTTCTGCACAGCACGGCTCCAAATTGCTAATGAAACAACTCTGCCAGACAAGTCACTTAAACCTTCTTTCTCTGCTGCTGCCGACAGCTCTCGTGGCGAGTTGCGGGGGGGAGCAGGAAAGGGACTCTCCACTCTGAATGTGCTAATAGCCCCCAGCCTGTGTGTTTATTGCTCTCCAGAGCAGGAGGCTTTCTGCTCGCTGGCTCCAAGAGGTTACTTTCCCAAAGCCATGGTCTGATTTGGACTTAATGCTTCTTGATTTCAATTTGTGGAGAGAGGGGTTGAAGAGGTAGGCAGCCGCTGGGCTCTCAACACGGATGCCTCATGTCCCAAAGCTACCCCAGCACTTCAGGCACGCTTGGTGTCTGCTTCCCACTCTCATCTCTAGTATCCACCCCCCCCCGCCATTTGATGTGAAGCCAGCTCTGTAAGGGATTTCGCTCATGGGTGAGAGTGTGTCACATCACCTTGGCTACAAGTGGAGCATCTCATGACCAAGGCCCCACAATGAGCGAGCGGGAGGCTACAGGTGCGGTACACCTCTGCCCCAGACAATTTGGGTACAGGGCTGCAGCTGAGCCCTGCGGGTTCCCTACCAAGCAGTCACCCCTCGAGGTAGGTAGAGCTGGGCAGCAGGACAGGACTCCTGCTGCAGGGAGGTATGAGGTGGAGCTCCTACAGTTGTGGACCCTGTACAGCCCTGTTTGCCATTCCCTATGACTCTCTGCAGCTGGGTTTGCTCAGCAACTGCTGCAGTTGCTTATCTTCCCCTCCCCTGTTATGACCACATTTCTTGCCAGAGCTTCACAGGGCCCCTCTTTGCAGATGCCTGGGGTGGAGTAGTTGTGACTTAGGGTTCTGGCAGGAGAAACATTTACATTAAATGATGGGAGAGTTCTCTCATTAATCTAAAATCTGACCCTTTCTGTCAATACCTGTGGTTAATTCCTTTGTCGATATTTACTGAGGCATTGAGATTACTTCTGCACAGGCTGCCTCCATGTTATGGCTCCTGCATTGTGCCTCAGCTCCTGTCTCATGTCTCTCAGGCTCCTTCTAGACCAGCCTGCGAAGTGCCCTGCTTCCCTGAGGCTAGCACTTCTCATCCAGGCCCACTCTCCCAGCCCTTGGGAGAAGCCAAACAAGTGGCTGTCCTTACTGAACTCTTTGACAACAGTGTCCATTAACTTTCCTTTTTATGGATCTTCTCCAGTTCCTCCACACATGTTTTTGACACTGTTTCCCACAGCATTCTTCCGGAGAAGGTGGCTGCTCATGGCTTGGATAGGCGTACTCTTCGCTGGGTAAAAAACTGGCTGGATGGCCCAAAGAGGTGTGGCGAATGGAGTTAAATCGAATTAGCAGCCAGTCACAAGTGGTGTTCCCCAGGGCTCCAAACTGGGGATGGTTCTGTTTAATATCTTTATCAGTGATCTGGACGAGGGGATCGAGTGCACCCTCAGTAAGTTTGCAGGCAACACCAAGTTGAGTGGGAGTGTTGATCTGTGTGAGGGTAGGAAGGCTCTACAGAGGGATCTGGACAGGCTGGATTGATGGACCGAGGCCAGCTGTATGAGGTTCAACAAGTGCTGAGTCCTGCACTTGGGTCACAGCAACCCCATGCAACGCTACAGGCTTGGGGAAGAGTGGCTGGAAAGCTGCCTGGTGGAAAGGCCAAGGTGGCCAACAGCATCTGGGCCTCTATCAGAAATAGTGTGGCCAGCCGGAGCAGGGAAGTGATTGTCCCCCCTGTACTCAGCACTGGTGACGCCACACCTCAAATACCGTGTTCAGTTTGGGGCCCCTCACTACAAGAAGGACATTGAGTTGCTGGAGTGTTTCCAAAGAAGGGCAACAAAGCTGGTGAAGGGTTTAGAGCACAAGTCTGATGAGGAGCGTCTGAGGGAACTGGGGTCGTTTAGTCTGGAGAAAAAGGAGACCTTATCGCTCGCTACAATTACCTGAAAGCGGGTTGTGGCAAGGTGGTTGTCAGTCTCTTCTCCCAAGTGACAAGTGATAGGATGAGAGGAAATGGCCTCAAGTTGCACCAGGGGAAGTTTCAATTGGATATTAGGAGAAATTTATTCACTGAAAGGGTTATCAAGCACTGGAACAGGCTGCCCAGGGCAGTGCTTGAGTCACCATTCCTGGAGGTATTTAAAAGATGTGTAGATGTGGTGCTTAGGGACATGGTTTAGTGGTGGACTTGGTAGTGCTAGGTTAACAGTTGGTCTTGATGATCTTAAAGGTCTTTTCCAACCTAAACGATTATTTGTTCCTCCACGATGTTGCCAGGAGAGGACACACTCCTTCCCCATCTGTCCCCTATATTTTCTGGAAAGGCTTTTATGTCTCCTTGCTCCTTCAGTATGAGCTGTGTGGGGCAGAAGTGAGCTCAGAAATATGCAGCAGTTTTTGGCTCTGGAGAGCTCTTTGGAGATCCCTCCATTCCTGGACTGAGCTGTGCCCACCTACTGCTGAGCAACAAACGGGGATTTTTCAGCTGCCATCTCCTGCCAGAAAGCTGCATGCATATACCACTATTACTTCTTAAGTGTGGAGAAGTTAGCTGCTTATCTCTGGCTCCATGGACTGTAGAGTGAGATGGGCATCAATTGCTTTCAGCTTTGCCAACACCAAACCAGGTGGCTGGTGATGTGCATTCCTCTTAGGCATTCAAGCTAAAGATCTCTGGTGTGTGTCTCACAGGCTGTTTCCTGTCTCGTTGTCCACCAGGCTATGATTGAAGTGTGTGTGCATATGGGTGTGTGGAGAGTAATGTGCATTTTCAGATCTGTTCTGACTGAGGAATGACCAGGGGATAAGGGATGATGAGTGAATGCGCGGTATGTGGTTTTGTAGAAGCCATCAGCCTGGCTTCCTTCTCTAGAAACATGCTTTTCCAGTTGCCAAAAATAGTAATTTCCTTCAAAAAGAATGTTTTCATTTAGTTATTCTTTGCCCAGGAGGTTAAAAATTAAATATGGGCCCTTCCACCTCTGGCTGCTAAGATGGGCCCTTGAACACAGATGTGACAAAGGATAGTTCAGGGGTGGGATTGTTTCCCTTATCACAGCCCTGCCTGACTCTATAATACTTCTTACTCCAGTTCATAGGCACGGTGATGGAAGCAGACAAAACTAGAGATTGTATCACTGGGAATGGAAGGTGAATGTATAAAATGGACATTGGATGGGGCTTCTTTTTCTCTTAACACTCTTTGGGCCCAGAGAGAGGCTCTCATAGCTGCTGCCCCTCCAAAGGGCATGCTGAAGCTGAGGTCACACCAGTGTTGGTCAGCCCTGCCTGCTGCCTCCCTGCTGACGTTACTCTGCTGGGGGTCTCTGTGGGGATGGGGCGTGCCCTACCTGCCTCAAGGCTGGGTTCTGCAGCCTCTGGGGAAGCAAGTTGCCCACTTTGCAAACTCCTGTTTTAGCATAATGGGGGAGAGACTGTGTTCTTTTGTACTTGGTATGGCAATGCCTTTCTTGTGATGGGTCCCCTAAGCTGCTGCTATAATCAGCTTGGTAAAAAAGAATAATTTTAGCATGCTGCAGTGATTTTTCTCCCATCAAAGTTTGCTTTCATTACAGGTTTTGATAGCTACGAGTTTGTCTTCATCCCTAGGGGGTGTGACAAGGTTCTAAGAGCCACCTTACTGCCTCTTTTATGCTATGTGAAACCGCTTTTTTCTGGTGATGTGCCAAGCTGTGTTTCAAAAAACAGCCCTGATGTTTTCTATTTGCTTAAAGCAGTAGGACATGTTCTCTCTCACACGCTCATGTGTGCACATACAAGCCAGCCCATCTCACCATCCAAACTGGAGAGATGATTCCTTGCACAGCCGGATAAATTGGCTGGTACAGAGAAACAGGTGATGTGAACTGTGTGTTCATCTACCCACAGACACAGCTCTTGGTTGGCCTTATTGCTGAGGTGTTGTGAATGAGATATACTGCTTTAGTGGCTTTGGCCTCCTCAGCTGAGTTGACCAGGTTCCAAACTGGCTTTGAGCAGAACTCAAAAACAAGGCTCATCTGCATGTTTTTTAAGCTATAGCTATAGACTGCAGCCACATTTCCACTATAGAAGGTGGAAGTACATGACTGCATATATTCATGTACCAGCTGAACTGTTGCTGTTAAATGGGTTTGATCTGACTGTTAGCGTGTTCTTAGCATGCTTCTCAGGATCATCCAAATATACAGTCACAGTTGGGAGTCAAGAATTAGCACCAGGCAAGCTACTGCTTCATATATCAAGAGAGGAGGCGGCTTCCCTCCATCTAACCTACCTTTGCATCTTTTTCTTTACTGCTTATTCAGTTCCTGGCTTACAATTCTGTGCTCCTTCCCATCTGATGGTTCTAGGGGTTTTAAGCAGTCTTGATAATTGACAGTCTAAATTTTACTGCTCATAAAACCCCAGAGAGCATTGATTATGACTTGAGTTAAGCAACTGACATAGAAAATCTCACAGTCTTGCAGCCGTAGGGGAATGTTATGATGAATGTATTTCTTGTGAGCAGCAAAAGGTTTGGAGTATTTTGCCAGCTCTGTTCTGGGCATCAAACGTTACTAGTGACTTGCTGCCACTAATAGCATTTCATTTGGGACATTCGCCCAAAAGTTTGAAAGCTGATCATTCGTTTGGTGAAGTGGGTGTTCTGAGAGGCATCTCTCCTTGTTAATTACTTCTCTACTTCAGTCAGAATCAGGAAGTGCAAAAGCATCCACAGAGCTGAAAAAGATACTTCTTAGAAACTAAATGACACTTCGTGGATAAAATGCACATAGATTTTATTGAACATCTTTCCTTGACTGTGTTCCAAAGCTGCTGTTACCTTTTCCCTTTCCTTTTTCCTTTTATCTAACCTCCTTTTAATCTTTGATCACTGGCTATTTTATGCACTTAATCCAGAGTGGCAAAAAATACCAGGTCGATTGGCTTCTCTTCAAGGTTCTTAGGCACTAATAGGAGATGTTTGTGTTTGAAAACAGTGAAATATAATATCTTCTTAATAATGTTTTCTACACGATAGTAAAATAAAATGAGAACTACCTTCCGAGGAGAGTGTGTTCTCCCATTCAGATGACTGCTTCTTGCTGAAAGATTGTGAGAAATGTTCTTTTTCTGTCTCTCTCCAGTTCCAGAAACCCAATGACTTCTCACCTCCTTTCCGCTTCGGGACAGTTCCCAATGGCAGCACAGAAAGGAACATTCGCAACAACTACCCTGAAATGCACAGCTACATGGTGAAGTTCAATCAGAGGGGGGTGGATGATGCACTGTTCTCGCTGAAGACTGGGTGAGGCTTTCTTCTTCCACACTTACTCACCACAGAAACCTGACTTCTTTGCATGCTTGTCTGGAAAATCTTTTGCGGGGTTTGGAAAATGAGCCTCCATTATCATTCCATGGTTAAAAGGATAGCAAGACCACACACAGAACAGGAGAATAATTCTGTGGTTCTCTTAGCCAGGTTTTTCTATTGACATGTCTATAGGAGTTTCTGGTTTTGCTGTGTTTATAAGCTATTTTTTAAATAAGAGGGTCTTCTGTATCCTTGTGTATGTTAGCCTTGTGTATATTAGTCCAAAGACCTTGCTTCATCAAGATGTTTCATGCTGATGAGTCCCTATGCATACACAGGAAAAGCTCACAGACCTCTGTGGATGAAGTTTTTTTCAGAGCATTTATACTGTCCTCTGGAAATTCCTTTGTTTTCCCTCCTTCTGTGTATAAAAGATTATGTTAATCAGGAAGCTGAAACAATCCTTGTCAGACTAATCCCACCCCAGTGTATCACTAGCTAATATAGTGTAATGGAAGGTGTGATTGAAGCAAATAGTTTGGAAGTAGCCCTTCTCTCTGGAATATTTTAGTATCAAGAGCTGAACAAAATGTTGTTTGAATAATAAGGAAATATATAAAACGGGAGCATTTCCTTGGGTAATTTGGGAAACGTGGGAAAAATCATTAGCAAGAAGTATGTTTGAACAGCTCATCCTATTTTAATAGCAGTGAATCTGTAAAGGAGCTAACTTAAAACACCATTTTGCAAGCCTTTGTCCTTTATAATTAAAGACGTTTTCCCAGAGCTGACCATTTTGGTTGTCAGAGCCTAGCCCCAGTGAAAAAAAACATTCTTGCTTACACTCATGTTGCACTCTTATGAGAAAGTTCATTCCAAAGCACGAATGAAGATGTTCAGCCAATTTAATTACTAGATTGACTAAATATTCCTAAACCTGTTTGCCAGGTTCAGAGGCACACAGCCCATTATAAATGATTGTACCATTGTTGGATGCCATCCTGGGAACATACATTTGCCAGGGTAATCATCATCCAGGAAATAAATATGCTCTGTCCTGGAAATATATGGTGAAACAGAGCTCATCACTTGCGGTAGATGTCATCCTGGCTTCATATCCACCCTTGGACAGACTTCCCCACAGATACACACTTGAACTGAGATAGTCACCATAGTGGAAATATATGTGCAGGAGGTGGATTGAAACGATAGTGTGGGTGTGAGAATGTGCAAGGTGGAAGGTCTTTCATCTTTTATCCGAAAGTGCTTCATTTCAGATCTAGTGGGAGGATTTACTCATCGGCGGTCTTTGGTTATATAGAAGATGCAGCCCCCTGAGACTGCCCTCCACACCCCAATCAATTTGTTGTAGTGAGAGGAAAGCTCTCATCAGTCTGTTGTGCTGTCTACCCATCCCAGCCCATAATGCCATAATGGGGATTTCTCTGTGTTGAAACAGAATTATTCTTGTGGTTTTCAGCTAAGCACTCTTTACCAAAGAGCTACTCAGCATGGTGAACCATAAAGCTGCTATCGTGGCCACTTGACATCGGTAAAGATCCAGTAGTGCTTTTCACAGTAACCGAGGAGTTAAACATGATGTCCTGACTATATCTAATTTGAAAAAATTACATTTTGCTCAGCTAAGTCATGCCAGCAATTTGAATCTGAGATAATCTTTTCCTTAATCCAACCCCTACTTTGCTATCTAGTATTGATACATTTTATAAAATATTTTAGGTTCCTTTGAGATGAAAGGCAGTACAGAAATATAAACTATTCTTAGGACTATAGATCCCCTTGACTTCCTCTTCATTTATCTTTAGTTGCAGTATGTTTGTATTCCAAATTTTCTTTCAGATCAGAAATTATGAGTAGCAAAGAGTCAGAAAGAAATCAACATTTATATGTCAAATATAATCTATATCATAAAAATTTATAATCTAGCTTCATCTGTAAACAGGTTCTAGGCTCAGATTTTAGTGCACTCTGATGAAGGTAAAGATGCAACCTATTGTAGTCTATCTGAAAGAGGTTTGTTTCTGCCTTAATTACCAGAGAACACCTTTGAACTCATACAGATTCTATCTTTTCTGTAATATATATACCCCTCTTGTTTCTTGCACCTGTGCAGGAAGTTGGATGCTTTCATTTATGATGCAGCAGTGCTAAACTACATGGCTGGCAGAGATGAAGGCTGCAAACTGGTGACGATTGGGAGTGGGAAAGTGTTTGCCTCCACCGGCTATGGCATTGCTATCCAGAAGGACTCAGGCTGGAAACGCCAGGTTGATCTTGCCATTCTGCAGCTTTTTGGAGATGGTAAGCAACAAGAAAAAGAGGAGTTGGAGTCTTCCTAAGAAATACCAAGTTGTGCATGTAAGAAATAGAAGTTCCTGGCTCTGATGCTTCAGATTTGAGTTGAGAATAGGAAATTATTAACAAGGGTTTGTTAGAGGCATTACACCAAAAATGTGAGGATGTCACTTCTTTTACATTGTTGATGCAGGGTATCAGTATCATCAAAAGCAATGTCAAAAGCACTAAAGGTTTCATAGAACCAACTCAGTTGTGTGCTTGAAAATATCTTGTGCGAAGAATGTCTTGTAAAAACAAGATTTCTGTTAACTTTTCACTACCTTTAAGGTTTTGCCATGACCAAACCCATTAATTATACTGGACATTTCGTGGTCACCCCATGCTTTATAGTTCTAGACAGGATCAAGACATGCAGACTTTACAAAATTAAAGGATAAATACTTCTGGATGAAAGAGTTAACTCAGATTTTCCAAAACCTCAAAAAAACCAAGGAAAGACTTAAGACTTAGAAGCATATTTTGGAGTGAGTTTCTAATCAGAACATTATAGTTACTTACTTCATCTCATCTTTTACAGAGAAATTGCTATTATTAAAAAAAAATTATTTGTGGGATAAGGAATTCCTTCTTAAAAAATATTATCCTAGCTTTCCTTTCCATTCCATATTACATCTTGCCATGTCCTTTTTTTGAATAAATAAGATTCACAGGTTATTTTCTTTATAAGTATTACTTTTTTTCTGAAAACTGAAAATAACATATGGTATAATAAATATAGAAAGAACATAGTTCTGAGAGACTTCAGCAGAAAATTGGCCACCTGACAGATAGTGTGTTCTGTCTCCTAAACAGCCTAATATGTATTTTTTCAGAAAAAAACATAAGTTCTCCGTAAATCTTTAAAGAGTATGCTATGGTGACACATAAATATACGGATTTTTTTTCCCCATCACTGGACTGGAGGTGGAAAATGTGAAAAACTAACTTTCCTAACAGCATGAAAAGAATTGCCAACCTGCAAAATTAGTTTGTTTCTGAATGTCTCAGTGTATGTATGTGTTTGTTTCTTTCTCTCCCCTTATGAAAATACTGTAATGGGAGTAAGTGGGGTATAAAATTAGACTACAGAACATTTGTTCCTAGCTGATACAATTTAGTAATATTTTTGATTGGTCAAAGGACTTCGAAGTGTTGAATTTGGACAAAATTGAAGGGAAGGTAAAAATGCACAAATATTTTAGGGAACATTGCACCTTGTTTTAATGAGCTATGGATATGATGGAAACAAATGCAAAATAAAACATTTTGATTTTTTAAAATCAACATTTTTAATTTTGAGCTGGAAACATACAATGTTTAGAAGTGACACATTTTTGTGTCATCAGTATCAGTCCCTGATTTTTCCCTTCATTGACCTGATATGAAAGTGGCAGTTTGTGAGGCCAGATCTTCAGTCATCTGGTGGACAACATTTTCAGGACCTCACTGTAGACATTTGGCAAGTGTTATAGCTGTGTCCTGTGGTACAGCTTTTTGCGGCTAATATCGGGCTGTGGAAAAATCCTGTTGCCCTCCCTGTGACAAATTGCCCCTGCCCCTATCAGAAGGGCAGTCAGGATATTTTATGGATGTAATAGATGTGGAAAAAGAGTATGGCCACTACAAATGACCTTAGATCAGCTTCTTGCTTTCAGTCTGCCCCAGCTTGAGCTCTTCAGCCATTGCAGGGCTGTCTAACCTGTATCTTTCCTTCTGTGTCTTTCTAGGGGAGATGGAGGAGCTGGAAGCACTGTGGCTCACTGGCATTTGTCACAATGAGAAGAACGAGGTTATGAGCAGCCAGCTGGATATAGATAACATGGCAGGTGTCTTCTACATGCTGGGAGCAGCCATGGCCCTCAGCCTCATCACCTTCATCTGTGAGCATCTCTTCTACTGGCAATTCCGCCACTGCTTCATGGGCGTCTGCTCTGGCAAGCCTGGTGTCGTCTTCTCCATCAGCAGGGTGAGTGCCACTAGCTAGCGGGGAGGAACAGAGGATTTATTCAGACAGTCCTAGGTGCTGGAGATGGGGAAAGCTACCAAGACTGTCTAACACACAGGTGGCATGGAATGGTGGTCTGCAGGATAAAGGCTAGCATCTTTTCACCATTAATGTTGCAAGAGCACCTAATGTTTTTCTGTGACATCTCTGGTCTCTGCTGGATTATGGTCATGGAAATAGAAATTTCATGTGGAAATGAAAATGTAGTATAAAAAGAAGTTAACTGTAACTGTCTGCTCCTCCAAATGAGTTGTGAGGAGGCCAAATTTGGGGACAATAAGTCAAGTAATGGTGGATAACATGATTAGAAATTCAGGAGTTTTTCATTGTCCTCTATATTGCAGCTGTTCAGCTGACCTTATGTTAACTAGAAATGTGCTATCATGGACAGTCAGAAGTCTCTAACCAAAAGCCATGCCATAAACCATGCAGAAATCTTTCCAGAGAGGACAACCACATGAACTTAGCAATTGCTTTATGCAAATCTGCCTTAGGGTATAATATTTACATTTAAAGCAGATTCTAGTAATTTCTGAGTCATCTTGATGCTATTAGTGTAGCTAGCAGTGTCCCATTTGGAGCTTTTTTCCCTTCTTTCAAGCCATTCCTGATCTCCTGATCCATTCCGAAGTGAGGTCAAATCTCAGCATTTTTCACCTCAGTGTCCGATGTAACTGAATTAACTTTGATTGTTCAAGGAGTATATAATTGCTACATAACATATTGTTGAGGAGAAATGACAAAGCCTTTTGAATGCAGGGGCACAGCCTCTCTTCTATATTGTTAGTTTCTGACCTGGCTTAGTCTGGAGATGAGATGGGGGATTGTGTTTTGTGATCCTTTCAATAAGTGCAGATTCTTTCATTCTGGGGTTATCTGTTAGACCTGGGCCAGGTTGGTGAAAAGTCTGAAAAGTGTTAATCATCTGCTAGCTGCTGAGAAACCATGGTAACATGCTGTGATGGTGTCCATTTCACAGTTGACATTAGTCAGCAGGCACCATTTGGCAGGCCAGGGAATAAATGGGCCCCTTCTGCTCCTAGGGGTAGCCCTTGAAAACAGCCCATGTCATGGATGAAACGAGCTAGCAGGGAATGTGGAGGAATCGGACACTTCTTCTGTCTGATTTGAGGTTGAACAGAGGACATTTGCTTTCAGGGTTGTCAATTTGGAGCCTGTTATCACTGTTAAATTTAACAGAATGCAATTAAAAATTCTATTGTACCTCGCTCAACCAGATGCAAAAAACCTAAATACCTCTTCGGCAGTCCTGCTCTTTCTCTGTTTCCTTTTCTAATCTGTACTGGTGATTAATGTAGCTAAGTTTATGACAAATGAAGCTGTTGCCTTTTTAAGATGGCTCGTATCTTGTTGATTCACTGATGTCCAGATGAATTTCAAGGGCCAAAACAGACTTTCTTCCTCTCATCCACACAGAATCATTTGTCTTGATGCTTTTGTTCCCAAGGAAATTATTTTCCCCATTTTCAGTTCCATGTTACACCTACTAGATTTGAGTAATTCTTACAGCTGCAAGCAGTTATTCCTGCATCCTACAGATATGACATGAAGCAAATCAGAGAAAGAGGAATGAGGGGAAGGAAAAAAATGTGAGGGGCAAGAAAGAGGGGCAGAACAGCAAGGGTTGGTAGAGCGGGTCTGATTTAATTTGATTTGATTGTGCTTCATGATGGAAGGCTGTGACAGGCCTTGCTGTCCTACAGGAACATGCTGTTGCTGCACAGGATGCTTCCCAGTCCAGGTACCCTTTCATGTATTCTTTGCAGGACCACTCACCTTCCTGCTTTCTCTCATTTCAGGGTATCTACAGCTGCATCCATGGCGTGGCCATTGAGGAACGCCAGTCAGCAATGAACTCCCCCACGGCGACTATGAACAACACCCATTCCAACATCCTCCGCCTGCTTCGGACAGCCAAGAACATGGCCAACCTGTCAGGGGTCAATGGCTCACCGCAGAGTGCCCTGGACTTTATCCGCCGTGAGTCATCGGTCTACGATATCTCTGAGCACCGCCGCAGCTTCACCCACTCAGACTGCAAGTCCTACAACAACCCCCCCTGCGAGGAGAACCTCTTTAGTGACTATATTAGTGAGGTGGAAAGGACCTTTGGCAACCTCCAGCTGAAGGACAGCAATGTGTATCAGGACCACTACCACCACCACCACCGCCCCCACAGCATTGGCAGCACCAGCTCCATCGACGGGCTCTACGACTGTGACAACCCGCCCTTCAATGCCCAGTCGCGGTCCATCGGGAAGAAGCCCTTGGACCTGGGCTTACCACCTGCCAAGCACAGCCAGCTGGGTGACCTTTACGGCAAGTTCTCCTTCAAGAGTGACCGCTACGGGGGCAGTGGGGCCCATGACGACCTGATCCGCTCAGACGTCTCTGACATTTCCACTCACACGGTCACCTACGGCAACATTGAGGGCAATGCAGCCAAGCGGAGGAAGCAGCAGTACAAGGACAGCCTGAAGAAGCGCCCGGCCTCTGCCAAGTCCCGACGGGAGTTTGACGAGATAGAGCTGGCCTACCGCCGGCGCCCACCCCGCTCACCTGACCACAAGCGCTACTTCAGGGACAAGGAAGGGCTACGGGACTTCTACCTGGACCAATTTCGGGCCAAGGAGAATTCACCGCACTGGGAACACGTGGACCTGACGGATATCTACAAAGAGCGGGGAGATGAGTTCAAGCGCGACACGGGAGGAGGAGGGGGTGGATCCTGCACTAACAGGGCCCACCACAAGCATGGCTCGGGTGAGTTTGGTGGAGGCAACGAGCACAAGCATGGCGTTGTGAGTGGGGTCCCAGCGCCGTGGGAGAAGAACCTGACCAACCTAGACTGGGAGGACCGGCCAGGGGCTAATTTCTGTCGCGGTTGCCCTTCTAAGCTGCACAACTACACGCCATCGGTGGTGGGGCAGAACTCCACCCGCCAGGCCTGCATCCGCTGTGAGGCCTGCAAGAAAGCAGGCAACCTGTACGACATCAGTGAGGACAACTCGCTCCAAGAGCTGGATCAGCCACCTGCCCCCGTGCCCGTGGCCACCAGTGCCACCTCCTCCTCCAAATATCCTCAGAGCCCTTCCAATTCTGCCTCCAAGGTGCAGAAGAAGAACCGCAACAAGCTCCGCCGGCAGCACTCCTATGACACCTTTGTGGACCTGCAGAAGGACGACTCAGCCCTGGCCCCCCGCAGCGTCAGCCTCAAAGACAAGGGCCGCTTTTTGGAGGGGAGTCCCTACGCCCACATGTTTGAGATGCCAGCCAGTGAGACCACCTTTGCCAACAACAAGTCCTCAGTGCCCGCCACCAGCTACCACCACCACAACAACCCCGGCAGCAGCGGGGGCTACATGCTCAGCAAGTCGCTCTACCCCGACCGGGTCACCCAAAACCCTTTCATCCCCACTTTTGGGGATGACCAATGCTTGCTCCACGGCAGCAAATCTTATTTCTTCAGGCAGCCTCTGGTGGCAGGAGGGCCCAAAGCCAGGCCAGACTTCCGAGCCATCGTCACCACCAACAAGCCGGTGGTCTCAGCCCTTCATGGGGCTGTGCCAGCCCGTTTCCAGAAGGACATCTGTATAGGGAACCAGTCCAACCCCTGTGTGCCTAACAACAAAAACCCCAGGGCTTTCAATGGCTCCAGCAACGGGCATGTTTATGAGAAACTCTCCAGTATTGAGTCTGACGTTTGAGTGAGAGGGGAAGAGCACGGGGAGGGATTGGGGGTGTATGTGGAGCATGGGAGGGTCGGGTGGGATCAATCCCATCGGCTACTCTCCTGGGTTGTCCTTAGTTTGTGGGATACTGGAGTTCTGAGTAGTGCAGCACTGGTGACAAGTGCCACCTCTTTGGTTTCCCCTCTTCCTCCTCCTCTTTCCCACCCCTCCCCTTTTAACTCTTTTTCCATGTTCTCGCTCCTCCCATTCTCCTCCATTCCTGGCCATTGCACTTTACAGTGACATCGGAGTTGGATATCCTTGCTTGTGATTTCAGGAAGCGGAGAAAAAAGCAGGGAAGGGGTGGGCTGAGGGGGAGCGGCAGTGACTCTAGCATTTCACTTTTGCTGGCTCCCAGCAGAGAAAGGCATGTGCACACACACATGTGTGTGGCAGGAGGAGACAGCAGAAGCAGTGTAATGGACATGCAGGAAAATATGCTTGCTCAGGCAACTCTTCCTAAAACTGCCTAGAAAAGAGTAGTGTTTGAAGATGTGGAGAAAGTGAAGGGGGAATAACACAACTAACTTGATGATGCACTTATATGTTAGCTATACTGAGGTTCTCGTTACATTATTTTGTGAAGACTATGGGGGTTTAGGGCTGAAATATATATATATTTGCGTATATGCTGAGAAATTTTATGCTAAAATTTTGAATTGTCTGCTGGGGTTGTGGGGAGAGGGAGAGAAAGCTTGTGTGCAGGTCTGGCTAGTGGTTTCACTATGGCTATTGCAGCTGTCGAATCTGTAGCAGACCAGTAGGAGAGATGGAAAGGAAGTGGGATCTGAGTTTGGGAAAGCAACCCTGGCGTCAGGGAGGCTGCTGGGATCTCTGACAGAGGATGCTGGTTTGCACTGAAATGAGAGGAGTTTGGGGAAGGGGGCGCAGGGTTGGGTCGTTAGCTGTGAGTTGCTCACTAGTTGTGACATACTTCAAGGATGGGAGAAGTGTATAGTATGGGGTAGCCTATACGCAAGTATATACGATAACTTTATACTTGAAATATCTGTGGAGAAAGCAAAATAAACCCACGATCCTATAAGGTGTCTGGATAACAAACACAGTGGAACAGAGCTAAAGAGTAGGGAAGGGTGGGGAGTTTTGTCACTGTCACTTCAGGGGACACCAAGTCTGTTTTGGCATGTCCTTTCAGCGAGGAGGGCAGGGAAGAAGGGTTTTCATCCTTCTGCCCTCCCTACCGTTTGGCCAGCAGGTTGGAACAAAAAGAATAGGGTGCTGTCTGCCAGCGCTGGCACGGTGCCGGAGAGGAAAAAAAATGCCATGAAAGTGTGCGTGTGGTGGCGGTGGTGCCGGTGGACTGTTTCAATGCCTCCTTGCACATGTGGAAATGGGAGGAGGGTGTGTGCACCCGTGGGAAATACATATGTATATTTACTATTGAATGTACAGGGGAAGTACATGGCTTATCTTCCCGGGAAGGGGTGTGCTTGAATAAATGCCAGAGAGCACAGAAACTTGTACCAAGGGTTGAAGACAAGACGTGCAAGGCTGAAATGCGTGTGTAGATGTATGTGTGCCTCTGTGTGTGAGAGATACTAGCACAGGTGCAAAGCTGGAATAGCCTAGGGTTTCCCATCCCTGTAGTTGTAGTGACAGCTTTCCTGGTGCACCTAGTATCGATAAGAGTGGTTTTTTCTTTCCATTGTATCATTTTAGATGCAAGTTAAACTAAAGGAAAGGGAGCAATGGTAGGAGTGAGAAGCTGAACTCCCCGTTCATGTGTTTTCTTTCTCCTGAGGTGGGGGTGTGGGCCGACCTCTCCTGTCCTGAGGGACATGGCAAAGGCTCTCCTGCTTATCCTGGGTCTGTCCCGGTGTCTCGATGACCGTGGCTCTCCAGGTGAAGGGTTGAGAGAGCCCTGTGCTGAGGGCATGGGGACACTGCTGGGGACTGACTCTGGAAGGAGATGGCAACCCCCTCTTTATGAGCCACATTTCTTGGAGCTGAAGGCCATCTCTCTCACATTCCTCATCGCACCCTGGTTGATTTTATCTTACCTTTCTCTTTTTAAGCCAACAGAAGGCCTTTTATTTATTTACCTATTTATTTTATTTATTTTTTAGAGCTGGGGCAGGGGGAGGGTGGGATTTGCCTGTAAAGTCAAAGAGTGTGAGGATAGGGTGGCAGGGTTGGTGAGGGGAATATTTTCTTATATTTCACTGAGGAAATTAAGGAGAGAAGAGGGGGAGAGTCTTTGTAATGCCACCCCTTAGTCTTTGGGGTAAGGGAACTTCATATTATTTCCCTCTTCTCTCATTACAAGGACAAAAGAAAAAGAAAAAAGAAAAAAGAAAAAAAAAAAGAAACCAAACAAATTAACAGAGCGATCTGCAATCCAGAACACACGGCAGCTTGTCAGACACCTCTGACAGCAGCCACCGAGAAGGCGTTCCTTTCATTTGTAAATATTTCTTTTTTATTGCGTTTTTGTATAAATTGGTGTTTCTCTTCTCGTGAATATTCAGGTCGTGGGGTGGGAGGGAGGGGAAGTTTGTTTCCGTTCTGTTTGTTTTCTACGACTTTTCAGGCTGCGTTTTTGGAAGCGGTTTACGCGGGTCGAGGCCGTATGAATGAGGGAGAGAGAGCGAGCGAGAGAGAGTGCGAGCGCCATGTGTGTTGTGTCCCCCCGAGGCCCCCCGTATTGCCCTGTCACCTTTATCTTCATGAATGGAAGACGCCGGAACGTCACTTCAAGCCTTGCCAGCAGGGTTTCATGTTTTGATGGGAACACCCCCAATTCCTTTTTGCATATAAACTCTCTGTACCAGCATCTCTCTGTGGAGTTTGGGCCTCAAGGCACTACACTGTCTTGATAGCGGTGGGGTGAACCATCAAGTTGGCCGCTCAGGTTGGACCATCACTTTGACATTAAGAGACTTCTCCGATGCTACTTTGGTTTAGAAATCTTGGACTTGGGAAAGCTCATGATAATTTCTGGTATTTCCTAAGGGCTTGGGGGGGGGAGCTTGACAGCTGGCGAGGGCAGCTAATCTCTTTGGCGGTTATCTCGGTACTTTTCTGTCCCTCCCCACCTGGAACGAGGAAACTTGAAGGGTGGCTCTGCAGGGAAATTAAGCCGAAAACAAACCAAAAAGAAGTTAACGGAACTTTTTTCAAATCTCTTCTTAAAGGTTCTGATTTTTGTGTTCCGGGGTGAAAGTTGGTTCGTATTTTCTCCGAACTGCTCTGTCCCTTGTTCCACTGATCGGCAAATGATAGTTTGCCAAAATCATTATCTAGTGTTGATACTGTTGTAGCACTGCTAACACTCCGAGTGCTCTGCAAATATTAACTGTGCCACAAACCACTCGAATGCTCTAGGGCAACCAGAAAAGAAGAACTGGAAATTCTGGACTGAACCACTGGTCTAACCACAGGAGCCTGGTATTTTGCCTTCTCCCATAACAGATTAGGCCACGTGTCCATCAGGTTAATCCTTTCTCCTTTAAATGATCTTTTCTGGTTGCGTTGTTTATTTTAGTTCTGACAGGTCAACAAGTTTTGGGACAGAGAAGAAGGGGAGGGGGTGGGAGGCGGGAGGGTGTAATTCATAACCCAGAAAATAAATCAATGATGTTATTAAACTCTGATTATATATTTAGAATTTTAGATTTGGTGTATTTTCATTCTAGGTATTCAAGTGAATCAATCAGGTAATATTAGCAGCAGGTGTTGTCTATACTAGAAAACCACCCATGTGCTGTTTATTACCTGTCCAGAAAAGAATGGGATTTCATACCAGAGCCTGACAAAACTCCACATCCCCTCCCTTGCCATTTCTCTCTTTCTTCTGTAGAAACACCAGTATTTTCTGGGGTAGTGGCTGGGAACATTTCCCCTCTCTGAAGGTTTCTGCACACAAGAATACCAAGCAAAAACCATTGCGTCCTCTACAGTTTGGTGACCTCTACTGTATATTTGCAGCCAGCCTCCAGGGAAAGATTAGGCTCCTTTGGCAATGTTTCTGACATTTGCCTCTTCACTCTAGCCCCAGGCATGGCTCTCTGAGAGGTATTTTCATGAGCCATGTTCTTCTGAAGTGGTACTGGAGTGTACATACTCAGCTGAAGGAGGATGTGTATGAAGAAGATGGAGGAAGTATTCAAAAAATATCAGAAATGTGCCATGCACAGTGGAAAGCAGCTGGCAGGTAGAACTTGCAGTCATGGATCTCCACATCCCAAACTTTCTTGGAGTATTCGCACCAGCTTTTTACCATAGCGCAACACAACACAGGCTGGTGTAGTAGTTCTCTGTCTCCCATCATGACTCCCAGTGAGGGCAATATCAGAACTTGCTGTGTCACATCATGAATAGGAAAGAAAAGCTTCAGTCAGGACTTGTTGTCAGTTGAGACAATGAAGCACACCGGCCCCACCTCCTCAGCAAAAACACATCCATTTCTCTCTGAAATCCAGCATGCGTTGTCAGAGCTCCCCAGGCAAAAACCCCAGTGGGTTCAAAATGCTCAGCAATATGCAAGTATGAACTTTCCTGTAGGGAATTGGTATTTCAATTTCCAGTGCATGGCGGGGAGGAAGGTTCCTTTGTGATGTCCTGAAGGATTTGGTGGAGGAGTTAAGAGTTGCCAGGATGGGCCTCTTTGCTTCTGACTTCTTCAGCAACACATGCTGATGTTGAGCTCCTCAGTCCAAGAAGACAGTAGCATCTATCTTGAGTAAAACCCCTTTGTACCTTCTAATCAGGTTTGTTTCTCACAGCAACATTGCCAGCAAAAGAGAGAGGGGGAGACAGAGAATGAATATGATGGTGGTGAAAGGTTAGAGTGATCAGAGATACCTCAGGGATCTTCATAGGCAAGTGTTTGCTTTAGAGCTTTCTGTCAAATGTGGCATATCCTCCCACCTCCATTGCTTATCAACAGATGGGAGCAAGCCTGGGAACACAGCCAATGATCAGACTTAGGCCTTTCACACATCCTCCACTCCAGT